TTCATCTCGACGGGGAGTCGATATACATCAGTCCGAGATTTCACTTTTTGAATCACTTTTGACCTACTTTTCTTTCTAACTTTTAGAAAACCGCCCCTTGAGAGTCTTTCTCTCTTTCTCTCTCTCTAAACCTGCATTCTCTCTAAAATTGATCTACCTAGGGTGAGTATCTAACCTTGGTCCTTTATTAAAAAGATAGAGTGAGTCAAGGGCTTTCATTCAATCTGAACGTTGGTGGTTTGGAGCACTTTGGAATTTGGGTATTCATCTTCGTCTTCTCCATTCGGGTTATTTTCTTCGAGGTAGGGATTTCCTACTCCATCCTATAAGTTTTGTTCTAAGTTTTGGTATTTTGATATGTTGGGAGTACTTTGGTAATTTTGGGAAAAACCCTAGTTGTATTAATAAATTAATTTGTATAATTAATTTAAGGAAATTGGGGAAATTGGTTAAATGCATGAAATTGTGGAATTCATTGATCAAATGGTGTAGTTGGATAATTAAAATCACTCGCCTATTGAATTGTTGATAATTTATTTCCAGTCTAGAAATAACTGTTTTGGGCTATCGGTGGAGGATAGTCGTGTTTGTTGTAGACATTGCATGTGGATTAGGGAAAATTGAAACTAATCAATTTGTTTAAGTCATAAATTTAGACTATTGAATTAATACAGAAAATACATGTATTGATTGAGCATTGCATATATGCATATTGTTTGGGAGGAGATAGGAGATGTACTCCACGATTAGGGGAAGATAGGGGATGGACCTCTAAACCGGATTTTTGTTTGGGAGGAGATAGGGGATGGACTCCATTAGCATCACTATTATGTGTGCTTATTATATTGAAGTGTTTTATATGTTATTGATACAGCACTAAAATGTGTATCAAATGAGAAGTACGAAGTGTTTTGATATGAGCCTGAGTCTCATCTGTGTTGTTGATATTGAAAGTAATGTGAATGTGATATATAGTTCACTGTTGTAAGTTTGGCCAGGTTCTGAGCCATATTGATAATAATGGGAATTGAAACATGTCATAGACATTAGTGTCATGAGACAGTATCGAGTTATAATTGATTATTCTTGGTTAACCATCTATTGAATGCTATAGCTTTATCCAATGCTTATATTTGGTTTAGTATTTTTCTACTGGGCTGTGGCTCACCCTTTATGGGAACATCATTTTCAGGTTCAGGTGATAAGCTACCTCCAAGGGCTTAGCTTGGAAGGAATTGGAGTTGAAGACTCTGTTAGTTTAGTTGTTATTTATTTATTTGATATTACATGTAAACATTCAAGCCTAGGGCTTTATTTGTATTTGAGTTAGAACTCATATTCTGTGTCCAAGTGTTGGCTTGGAAAGATGTAGCCCGTAGGGCATTTAATTTGATGTTACATGTAACGCTTTTATTTAGTAATACTCTGATGAATGAATTAATGAATTGTTTTCTTTAAATATTGCATGTCAATGATATATATATATATATAATGGGTTAATTTTGAGGGCGTTACAGATTTGAATTGATGTAGTAAAAAGGTGATGTAAATTAAATAAGATGATATGCCTTAAATAGAATAGTAACTTTTTGACTTTTTAACTTTTTTAAGACACTCCAAACAAGGCCTAAATCTCTCACAGAGGGTGAGATTTACATAAATTCACATGTGTATGGGTTTCATACCCATGTGAGAGATTTGATAGAATATTTGGGGTCCCTAACATGACTTCAGAAGTTTTAGTAATTCAAGGACATAGGTAAAAAAAAACAAATTTAGTAAAGTCCTCTAAGACTTACAACATTATTTTTAGATTAAAGTACCCCACACTAATAGTTTGTTATGGTATTTTTAGAATGATTTAAAAACTTTAAAATTTAATAACTTTTTATTTACATATATATTTTTTTTATAAAATTTATATTTTGTAAGATTCTCTCATCAAGATCTATAAAACAAAATTCGTGATTAATATAAATTCTATTAGATTTTTGTAATTGATAATCCCATTTGACAAAGTGCTTTCAGTTGTAATTTTATTCGCTCTTTTATTTCAATGAGTCTGTAAGTATTTAGATACAAATCCAACTCGAATTGTGTCTGTGTAGAGGAGTTTGTACAAACATTTCGTATCTTGAACATTCCTTATTTGCCATTTCACTAACGATGTACGGGGATCGAGCTGTTTGACCGCTCGAGCGGTGAAGTGAATCATCCAGTATCTTTGCCTGTAAACTAAACTTTTGGAAAATATGTTTCACCGCTTGAGCAATAGATTTTGAGCTCGAGTGGTTGACCTATATGTTTTGCACCACTTTTACTCACACCGTTCGAGTGTAAAGTGTGCTCTCGAATGGTCATCGCGGCTCTGTTTAGTATAAAGTGCGCCGTTTGCTGCTTTAGTGTTGAACCCATCCAAATTCTCCAAAGATGAGAAAATATAAAGTGTTCTATATTGAAGGGTGTTTTTTATGTGAGTTTCCTTGATGTATAGAAACTGATCGATCGATTGATCAATGAACTATATAGTGTCAAATATCAAGGGTTGTTTTCGTTCTTTTATTCACATAAAAGATAGAGGTGTTCGTCGATGGATTCCGAGAAATTTAGGTCTGAAGTTTTGGTGAATTCCAGAGTGGCTCATCATTGTCGATTCAATGTTGGACAAAGTAATTTCGAGGTGAAGACGGCAGTAGAAGAGACACATCAGGTTTGGTTCAATTCGGTCGTGAATTCACTAGGTAATTGAAGGTACTCATGTATAATTCTTTTTTGTCTTCTTAGTACATTGTTTTGTGGTTTTGGTCTGTGACTTTTTTTTTTATCACAATTGGAGGTGTTCCAATTGTGATTTTTTCCATGTTTAAATCGTTGTGTCGATTTATCGTTGATTGTTTGATTGAGATTGATATTAACTTTTTTTTTTTTGAAACATATAATCACAAATTAATAGCTCGATGGTTTTTAAGATTTTTCAAATTCAAAAAATAAAAAAAAAATAAAATTTCATTGACCCAAGTCAGAGAAATTCAACTAAAATCAAATAAATATTACTGCAATTGACTTTAAGTTTCACTGACAAAATTGCTCAGAGGAATTTCAGAATTGCTTAGAGAAATTTTAAAATTATTTATTTTCTCTTAGAAAAATTTTAGAATTACTCAAAAAATTTCATAATTACTTATTTTCTCTCAAAGAAATTTCAAAAATTGGACAATTGAGAAGTCAGTGAAATTTTCTTAACTTTTAGTTAGAAAACTTAGTGAAAATTTATTTATTTTATTTTTTGTTTTCAAAATTTCATATTCATCATGAATCTTGTTTAATAGATCTTGACAAGTCGATTCCAAAAATATAAATTTTACAAAAATTGGAGTTCCAAATCAAAAGTTATTAAATTTTAAAATTTTGAAACACATTCCAAACTACAACTATCTCTCTCAGTTCTGGTGGCGGGGTATGAAGAGAGATGTGGCAGCTTTCGTATCTAAGTGCCTTACTTGTCAGCAAGTGAAGGCCGAACATCAGAGGCCAGCGGGTTTGTTGCAACCCTTGCCTATTGCCGAGTGGAAATGGGAACACGTCACTATGGACTTCGTTGTGGGTCTTCCGAGGAATTAGCGGGGTAATTTGGAGCACATTAGTATTTGGGCACTCATCTCTGTCTTCACCATTTGGGTTGTTTTCTTTGAGGTAGGGATTTCCTACTCCATTTTATAGGTTTTGTTCTAAGTTTTGGTATTTTGATATGTTGGGGATACTTTGGTAAATTTTGGGAAAAACCCTAGTTGTATTATTAAATTAATTTGTATAATTAATTCATGGAATTGGGAAAAGATGGTTAAATTCATGGAATTGGGGAATTCATTGATTAAATGGCGTAATTGGATAATTTGAATCATTTGTCTATTGAATTGTTGATATAGTTATTTTCAGTTTAGAAATAACTGTTTTGGGCTATCGGTGGAGGATAGTCGTGT